TGACATGTTGTCCTTGTTTTCACCATCTTAATCTTTAACAGCAGCATGACAGTTATTTCAACTCAATGATGAGGAAAAGGCAAATGCAAATCACTGCAAAACTAAATCTGAAATTTTTTTACTTACTTGTAAAGTGTTACTTGTTATAACTTCACCTCAGTTAAATTTGCATAAAAGTATTTATGGGAGGTAGGCAGTGAGTCATCATTCCCGTGAGTACTGACATTTTTTGGAAAAGGTGTAAAATAAATATTCACACTGAACATTAGTATGGAGGGGGGTGCCTGTGTCAGAGAGAGAAATAGAGAAGGCAAAAGGTGTTTGTGCATGTCATGACAATAAACTCCAGTCAGTGGAAACAAGCGCTGTGATATACATGTGGCCTGATGTAACTTTCTGAAGGCTAGCTTTGACTTGGTTTGGAATTGCACACATAAAAAGAAACAGATTATTACACTCAGCACCACTGTGTTAACTTCATCTGCCATATACAAAAAATAAAAATATCCGTACATACTGGAAACATGCTCAAAGGTATGGCCTTCAAACATGTTGCCTCATGTATTATAGATAATAACTATTGATGTGCACAAAGACATGTGCTAACTCACACACACTTTCACAGACACTATCAGTTACAAAGCAGGTGCATGCAGACTTGTGCTCATCTGTGCACCTAAGAATTCATGCCCAAACGTATTGTGGAAGAGTTGCCAAATGTGTTCAAATCTTATGCTCTGAATTTGAATTATGCATTCAGAATTTGTACATACATCTGTGAAATTAAACATGCTTATTTATTTAATATTCAGTGACTTAACTGAAATTTAGATGCTGTAACATTTGGGTGTCCTGGTATCTTGGTTGGTTACAATTCAAATGTGACTGCAACATCCCCAGGTTAGATTCCCTGAGGGGACCTTCATTGCATGTCAATCCCCTCTCCCTCTCCTTGGAATTTATGCCTTTATCTCTACTGTATCCATCAAATAAAGAAAACAAATTCCAAAAAAATTGTATACAGTACAATATAGATTCCATGTCCCTGAGAGAGAATATAGCAACTTGAAAATGCATCAGTCAACGTTTAGCCACTAGGGGGCAGGAGACATCTAAACAAGCTGGCAGACACATAGGCACCATGTCTGTGGCTTACAGAAGAAGTTGTTTGCAAACAGCTGTTTACTTTCACATCCAGCAGACACAGAGGCACATTTATTGTGGTGGTTAGTTTTGTCTAATGAATTTAAGTCAAGTATTCACTCTCCTACACAGGCAGAGACAATTAAGAGGCTAATGCATTTATTATATACTCACATTATTTATATATGCATTTATGAATAGGCATATACATTAGGCTATATATTTATATAGCCTATATTATAAAAAACAGTTTGCGATGTGTTATCACACAAAGACAACATCCTTCTATAAGCAAGGAATGTCTGTATGTTTGTATGTATATTAGCTGTTAAGGTCAGTGGAGGTGATGCAGAGAGACAGGGTGATGATGACCCCAGTCATGTTGATGACGAGGGAGAGAAGAAACCGGAGGAGCTGCAGAAGGAGGATGAGGAAGTCAATGGAACCAGAAACAACAGTGACGGGTACAGGGGCAGTGTGCAGGACTGGGTAGGCAATCATATTATTCATAGATAGAATTAGAAATGGATTATTGTTAGTCAAATATATTACTGATGTTTTTCTCCTGCATATGTAGCTGTACAATCAGTTAAAGCAGAGTGGGGCCCAGCACAAAGTTGAGCCAGGGAGAGGCCTACTCAGAACTGAATATGAGAGAGTTGATTTTTATGCACACACATACATACACACTGCTGTATTTTATGGGAATGCATTGTAGTTTTTGAGTATATTGAAGTATTTTAGCACTCTAACTGACTCAGGCTTGCCTGACCTGGTCTTGTTCAGTGCAGTGGTGCCTTGTTTATACAAACTGAGGAGGCAGGTGTCATCCTGAAGTTTCATGAAGATCTTCAGCATAATCTGACTAACTGTATACAACAAAAACACTGATGTATTAAAATAACTGCAAAAAATATTTCTGCGCACCCCCAAAGGGCACTCGCATAAAAGGCCTCTCCGTCGCAAAGTCCTGGGCTAAATTTCAGTCGCTGTATACCCCTGTATGGCACTAACTATTCGCCCACCTTTTCTCATCCAGTTTTACCTCTCTCTTTTATGCAAATATAATCTTCCATTCTGTCGCTGTATGTCTGTGTCAAGTGCTGCCTCATTAATATTTGATGTGACTTAGGATAATGATGCACTTAGACTCTGCATACACATGCGTGTGTGGGAGAGAGGGATTGGGGGGAGGGGTAACCCAGCAGTTCTGCAATTTAAAGTTATAAACTGTGCTGTGCTGAATTTAAGATGCACCACCAGGGGCCAGCAAGCACCAGAGTAATGGCAGTGTAATATGTGCAAATATGTATGTAGATAAATGAGCATAATGTACAACACAGTACATTACTAATGTACTTGAAGGAACGTGAACATATTACAGTCATCTATCATTGATTAGCTTCTTCCATTTCATGGTCCAGATGAATTGTGACAGAGACACAATGAGGTTTTCCTTCATAGCACTCTCATGGTATCATTTTAATTTAAGCCAATAATACAAACGAATGATTTATTAGATGTTGTAAGATGGCTGTTATTCTCAAATCAAACTCGCGCTTCATTAGTTTTAATGTAATTGCGTTTGACTTCATGAGAGTCCATTAAATGTTTGTTGAAGTAGACAGGAATACAAGTAGACAGTGTAATGGAAAGGTCAGGTTTTAGCAAACACCTTTTCTTTGTTAACACAAGAACAATATCAGTCATCATAACAGGCCTAATTTAACCGATTTGATGTACCATAACTCCCTGCAAAACACTCCGCAATCTAAAAGGAATGGACAATTCTGTTAGTGTTTACCAAACAGGTTTGCACAGGGTAAACTCTGTTTATCATTAGAGCTTTGTGTATCAGCAGACAGGAATATCTGATGTGTGTCAGTGTGCAGTTGGAGAAATATATTTCTTTGATCTAATTTTATTTAGGTTGTGATTCTGCTGCTGACATGTGATCAATGTCTAGAATTTTGCATTTAAATGGGACACGTCTTAGGACTACCTAGAGGACCTTCATTTAATCATTAGGCTTACAGCCATGGCAAATTGGCCACAACTGTAATAAAATTAAATGCAAATTCTGTTTAATAATTTCACTATGCATTTTTATAACATGAATTGCTAAATCTGTTTATACTGTAAGAAATATTCAAATATGTGCTTTTTGTGTTTTGTTTTGACAGTGCTCATCTAAACTGACACTTTCTGTATATGGGGGATTTTAACAACTTACACACTTATTTGTCTGTGATTTTGTACCTCATCCTTTCCTTCTCACTGTCTACCTACCTTGATATAAAATGTATTTTCAGTCTTTCCTCCGTGATGATGGGATGCGTTTTGACAGGAAGTTAGCTTTTCATATTTTCAGATCCCGTTTCATTACACTTACTCCATTCCTTACCAGTGCACCTTTACAGAGCTGCACTCTCACCTTGTGCCTGTTCACATGCACACATAGACAAACTATTGCACGCAGCACACACAAAGTAGGTCACCTTGATGTGTGACGCCGAGCTCAGCTGGTGTATCTGTGTGTATGTTTTTTGTGTTTATACACCCTCGTGGATTGTGTTTTGTCCTCTTATGATCCTCTCTGTGTCCTCTTAGCTCCATAGAGAGTCTAGTCATTAGATTGGCTGTAAGTCACTTAGCCCAAACTCTAATTCAATTACAAAACCTGTAGTCAGATGCACTTACAGTCATGTTTGCATTCACATATGTGAGATGTGTTGCACAAAGTAGAAAGAGGTAAGCCTCCAAAGATATATTATATTTTAGATATGGTGAGGGAGAACATAATAGAGTAGGGTGTAAATTAATAAGCATGGGCTGCTATCATGTAGATTCATGTTTGCATTTACATAAAGGGCATTTACATTCAGAGTCCAGAAATCTATCAAAAGTAATAAACAACACATGGAGTATTATTTCTATCAATGGGCCTCTGTGGAGATAAATGAACACCCATGAACCATCTAAACAAACTGTGGAGTCCTTCAGCTTGAAAATCCTTGAACACAACAGTAGAAGGACGAGACAAGGCCAATTCCACACCAGGATATAGGATTTGCACACACATAAAGACATGGGCACACACATCAGCCTCTGTCCAGCCACAGGGTCATATACTGTTTAATTGGCTTTTTTCTCTAGTTAGTTGCATCTGCAAATGTTGTCCCTGTAACCTGATTTACTGTGACATCTAATAAAACAATCAGACTGTTTCAAATACAACTTAATCATTAAATATAATCACTTAAAACTCATGCCTCCGGTGACAAATAAGTGTCCCTTTGGATGAGTCAAGCAAGGATTTTCTTTCTTTTAAAGTACTTCATTGCCATGAATGTGTCCTTTGCCCCCCTTCTCATCGCTCATGAGAGCTGCTCCACTCAGTAGTGTGACATGCAGGGCTAAATGCAAAGAGACACCATGCACAGTAAAATAGCCTTACTCTGTTTTCAGTCTGTCTTAGTGAGCAGCTAGCATACACAATCACAAGATACCACTCAAATATTATCTATTTATTTTCTCTTATTATTTCATTCCTGGCATATAGTTTCCTGACTCAATTAAGCAGGGGCTTTTAAAACAGAACAATGAAAGCCAATCTGCTGAAACTGCCTGTGGATGGACATTTTGGTTTCCAAATGGAATTAACCACAAAGTGATGGGCCCCTTACACAAACACAAATTAGCATTGGCAGGAAACAATCCATAAAAGGTTATTCTTTTCTCATTTGTATTCAGTTGTAACGGTTGAGTTGAGTTGGGGCGGGGTGGGGGTAGAGCAGTGGGAGAAGGGATAGGGAGTGTTAGTATTTGGACCGAGGAAAGGGTCTATCCAAACGAAAACGCAGCCTGATGTATCGGAACAGTTCTACACAGAGAGAGTAGTAGTAAGCTGCGTTTGGCCCAACCCCAAATAACTACTGTGAGAGGAAACTATGATGACGACAGCTCGTAAATCGGCAGCTGGAACCTAGAGGTGCCCTGGTTGCGCGATCTGAACGGTGAGCACAAGTGCCTGCCAGTACTGTAACCGGAGGCTCCACATTCAAGGTACTGGAAAGCTTGAGTTACGCGTGCGTTTACAGTTGGATCGGAGAAGGATATTGTCCTATGTCTCTCTCATCATCTGTACTGTCTGATTTTTTTGGAGATGCCGCGCATCTTGTGCCATCCTCAGATCTGAGCAGCGTGGTAAACTTTAAAGGCTAATGGGTCAGATTTGACCATTTAAAAGTCCCAAAAAGAGACAGAGAAGTTAATTCACAGAAAATGTCCACGACGCACCTCAGCTCTCCGGCACCCAACCAGAGCTACCTTTCCACGGCCACCTACGACAAGACAGAACCCGCGGGGGTGGAGAGGCAAATACGCCTGCTACTTTTCGGCTTGTGCGTAACCATCGCCACTGCTACCTTTGTCGGAGGTGTGTATTCGCTGCTCTCTTTCCTCCGGATGAGGAGAAAAACCTCCCTGTGTCTCATTGTGGCTTCCATGTCGGTGGACGACCTGCTCAGCGTGGTCCCTCTCTCCTTGTTCATGCTCCTACAGTGGGAGACAGATGGAGGTGGAGGGTCCGGCAGCCTGTGCACTTTATCTGGACTTCTGTACGTGTTCCAGGGTGTTTCCAGCAATATGAAGGCTTGCCTTATAGCAGCCTACACTTTTTATGTCACTAAGAGATTTGGAGTGCTTCAGTCTGTCCGCCGGCCCCTAAGAGTGATGTGGGCCATTGCCGGTGTGTGGGCGGTCAGCCTAGCCGTCAGTGTGTTGCCTTTGTGCGGATGGGGCAGCTTTACGCCGGCCTCTCTCGGGTGTTTCCCAGGGAGCGACAGTTTTTACATCATGCTGCTTTTCTCTTTATATTCCCTGTGTTTCTGCGGCTTGTTATTCTTCTTCATCCCCCTCACCTACCAGCTGCTGTGCTCCAGAGAGCCCCAGAGGACTTTACTGTACCCCGACTATTTGGAGATGGCGAGGGGACTGAGTGGCTCCGCTCCCCTCTGTGACCTCAAATCCTTTTCAAGGGACAGTCTTAACAAAAGTTTCGGTGCCTACAACGAGCTGACCCCAAGTTCATGCGGGACCGAGCTCAGGGAGAAAGAGGACAGCTGCATGTCCCCAGTGTCTGTCAACGGGCAGAGGACGACTGCAGTCGAGGACACACCAGTGGTGTTTGCACAAAAACGCTTCTCCATGATCCTGGCAGTTGTCCGAGTTATTTTATGGATGCCAATAATGGTAAGCAACGTGATAAAAGGAAATGCTACAGTAGTTGAAGCCAAAAACAACAGCACAATGTCTCCTTTCACTTCCAAACACCATGAAAAATCATTTAATCTAATTGGTTCGAAATGATTTCCTTGTTTTCAGAAAACACTTGCTATCCTTGAGTTTTGTTTGTAGGCCTACTTATTTCCAACTTGTTTCCAGATCCAAGAGTTATTTAGTTGAAATGGTTTGACCTATTTTGCACTGATCTAGCAAGTTGTCTCACCTTAGGGAGCAACAAAGAGATGCCAAATAAGCACCAGAAAAGTGCTTAACAGCCAACTAGAAAGTCATGTATGGGTCTCTAATGTAGTAATGTAAATGCAAAACATCCCCAAATCAAACCAACATTTCTGTTGTGATCTGTTTCTGTTTGTTCTTATCTGTCAAAATAGAAGTGTATTATTCTCTTAAAACCATTTCCTGTGAGGAAAAATAAAACATTACTTCAGGAAACACTTCATAAGTTTACAGGATGTATTCAATTAATTAATAATATACGTTTAGACATCACATGCACATGTCATGGTTTGTGGTCTCATTATGTGTATATACACACACAATTTTTGTTTTGAATATATATATATATATTTTATAAATAATACAAGCAATTGTTAAGCTACAGCCAGTGTCCTATTACAGTAGCATTTCCTAAAGGCCTGGAGGCAGGTTTTATTGCATGGGTTGCATTGTAAAACACGGTAGGCCTACATGATTGCCACACAATGAGTTTTGCTGTTACAATATTTGTCCGTGCTCAAAGAAAATAGGTGATATATAGCTGATAATGATAGGCAAACAGAACTGGCATTACAAACTTGACATTGTGTAGTACAAAATTTCACAGATCAGAAGTAAAATTCACAATGAGTTTTGTTTCTGTGGATGTGAATTTGTTTTGAATTTAAGAAACAAACCAGTCCGAATAAACATGTCTTGCCTAAGGTTGTTTCTCTTTAGGTATATATTATTTGTATCTGTGTTTGTATTTACTAATGTAATGTATAAAAATGTAAAGATGAATATCAGCAAAATGCTGAACTTGTTGCTGGGCCACAATGGAGTCATTCAACACTTTTTTTTGAATATGCAAAAAGAATGGATACGTTTAGTTACAATTTAGTATACCCATACATGGAACAATAATGCAACTCTCTCGTAATGTTGCAGTTTGGCTCGAACTGCATTGACATGTTTTAATAACAAAGCAAAAGACAAGAAGAGCAAAAAGGCTCAGAATGGGTCAAGGATCTTTGTAATTATTTTCCATTCATGTGTCCTCCTTCTCCCCACTTTCTCGTGCGTACTGAATCACTGACTCCCCAGTGAATTAATTTCCCCTTTCCCTTCATTCACAGACTTTGGTGCTGGTACGCCACGCACTGAATGCACGCAGCTCATCCCTGGAGACTCTGAGCTTCTTTCTCACTCTGCTTGCCCCTGCGGTCACTCCATTGTTCGTGCTGTCTGAGCGCTGGATCCACATGCCATGTGGCTGCTTCATTAACTGCGAAAGGGATCCAGCGCAGCAGCCCTCAGGTAAACCATGACAATATACAAATTGACCAACAATGTACTATAATGTGTGTTTCTACATAATGAACTCCAGTACAAGTTTCCCCAATGTGATATAGAGGGTACTTTTTATTCTTTTCTGGCGTGAGGGTGTTATAAAATCATTCTCAATTACGTTTTTTCACAGTGATGAAAAGAAGATTTGAGTTCAACCTTTCCTTCCAACAAGGCTATGGAGTGTACAAATTGTCACATGCCACAATGTCTCATAACAGTCTGCCCCTTGAGAATCCTGCCTATCATAGCCTCTTTAATTGTGACTTCCCAAATACCCGCCTTGATGCACTAGAAAGTGGCGGGCCCTCCAGCCTGGGGCCCGATCTTGATCTCAGCACCACCTGCCCTGTGGACAGCTCCTCGCATGCCGACCTTCTGTTGGAAGCAGTAGCCGGTGGAGGAGAGGCGCTGGCTGATTGTCCTTCACTCCCTCATGAGAACCATGGGGACGAAGGTGACTTCCGCTGTGTCCCTTCGCTGCCTTCTCATCACCGGGAGCAGGATCACAATCTCACTGACACATCGTCTGTGTTCGAGGGGACAGAGAGGAGGCTGTCGCACGAGGAGTGTCGGAAAATCGAGCTGACAGACTGGGAGTGGTGCAGAAGTAAATCAGAGAGAACACCCAGACAGGTACACCACTGTCCAGGGTATTCAGTTTATTAGCCTGATTTTGGTCAAATTAAGTCATTAGTATCTGTCATTCTGTGATTCATGGCTGCCATTAATTGATGTTCCACATTTGCACTCTGTTGTTTTCCTAAGCTAGTCAAACAACTGCTGCATTTGCATGCAACATATGGTAATGTTCTCTAGAGATGATCGTTTTAATGAGATTAGTGTCTCGGGCTCATAGAATGGATGTATTTTCAATCTCCCTTTCTGTGTTTACATTTTCTACAAAAGGAAATGAAATGCTATCTTATTGCAGTGCACATGTGCATAGATACAGAGACATACAGCTGCACTAGAATGCAGTTTTTACATAGCCAGGCCTTAAAGACGTGAGTGAGTATTTGCACGTTTTTGTCTGTCTGACTGCCTTTCAGACTCTCTGTTTGTTGGTCTCTGTGGGGAGGGGTTCTGCATCTTTGAATGTGCCTTTTTGCAATCAAGCTGACAGACTGGAAGCTGTGCATGTGATTTAGATAAAATGGTTAAAATTGCCTCTCCCTTAGCCTCTCGCCTCTCCTCCCCTCCTCTCTCTCTGCATATCTTTATTTGTGCTAAGCCTCAATGGACAATAGAGCAATTGATCAAGATACTATCAGCTGCATACCATTTTAGTAACAAATGTCAGCCTGTCTTTTAAAAGCAAATATTCATTCATTGTTGCTGCACAGACTCTCTAAAATCAGACCAACTCTCAAGGCTCAGCTCTATTCATTGATTTGGTCTTGTGGTTAGAGGGTGTTTACAGTTTCAGATCAGTATTAATGAAATTATTCACTGATAGGTAGCTCCCTTTTGTGTGTCTATGAATGTCTTTTCTGCATACCCGTGATTTGGTATGAATTTGGAATGAAATTTTAATGACAAATTCTTCACAATCCATTTTTGATTAATGTTTTAGTTCAAGTACAATCAAATCATAGTGTATGTATATATAATGCAAGACCCAAAATTGTGCTCATAAATGTATTATTTGCTCAATAGTTGCAAAGTCAACTATTGAGCAAATAATAGTAATGTAAACAATGGTGCTCAAGACAGTTTGCTACAGGTCCATGAACGGCAATCCACTAATCCATTTTTAATCCATTTCTTTCTTTGTTGTTGACATCCTGTGCTCTTGTAATACCAAAAGCTTAATTCTCTCTGTGTTTGGTTGGACCCAATTGAATTCTTAAACAAGGACAAAACAGTAAAGGCTTAATGATTAATGTATCCTACCCTTAGAGATACCAAACACAGACGAGAGAACAGCCTCACAGCCACAGGCATTACTTTTTATACTCAGAACTAACTGGGACATGAACAGATGCAGGGCCATGTATGCATACATGTGTACACTCACAAACACATGCACACACTTAATTGCTGTCTCGCTTCCTCTCTGTCTCTGCTCTACTTATAAGTCTGAAATGTTTTGGTTTGAAATTCACCAGAGGGTGGAAAATCCATGGAGCATGAATCTACAGCTTGGCTTTGGCACTCACTTTGCATCATGGATAAGTCTGAGATGCTCACTGCTAGCTGCTGGCTTGTGTATGTGTGTGTGTCCTACTTCTCAGCTTCTAAGTAGCAAACTCTGTATATTATGCTCCCTTAGACCTCATTCATGGATTGGAATAAGAATATACAAGCATAATAGCTGTATTTATATGAAGTGACACACAACATCTACAAACAAACAGTAAAGACAAGCTAAATAATATCAAGATCCCAAACACAGTCACAAAAGATCAAAATTTGCTCACAAACACATATACATACTGTATACACACAAGAGATGAAAGCAAAGCCTAAATAGTTTGCGATTTATAGCATTTCCTGGCTATTTTTTATTTCCTTGTTAGCAGGCTAGATGTCATTATCCAGCATCTGTCCTCCTTACTGTCAGCCCTTCTGGCCTTCAGCATCCACTGGGAGAGGTGGAATTAGAGCTTAAAGACATCTTTACCCTCTCTGTGACTTTATACTCTCTGTTAGCAAGCACAGAGCTGGCAGTGCATTCACAAGCCTTCTCCCAGAGGGGAAATCTAATTCGCATTAAGATGTAGGGAAGTGAAACCTGTTCACCCTTCTGAGAACACATCCAAAACTGTAAATTAGTGTTTGAAAACAAACAATGATATTTAACTATTGATTTGGAATGGACATAGAACATGCTAGGATCTGTAGGCATCAGTAACATGTGCCATGTGTGTTGGCATACTAATATTTGGTACTAAGTACATCTAAGGCTGATGGGAATGTCAGTAGTGTTGCAGGTATTTGGTCACAAATCACAGTTTTGACTGAATGATAGCGCTAGATAAAAAGGGAATCACCAATTCATCCTGAGGGGAATATCTGTACCAAATTTCATGCCAATGCATTATCAAGATTTCTCTGTCTGGACCAAAGTAGGCAACCGGCTTACTGACATTGCCATCTTTAGAACCATTCCTGTGTACTGCAGAATACTGTAAAAGCAAGGCAGAATGGAAATGCTTGCATTCATGTCATGCAGGTTTAAATGCTTTATATTGAAATAAATAAGATAATTGCAACACATGCATGTAGGTTTAATAAATAAGTCATCTGAATATACCCAGAACACACACACCATCTGTCAATGTACTTCCCACAGTGATGGGTTCTGAGCATCATTTGAATTACTTGACAATGTGTTTTCAGCTCAACATTGTGGCCTCTCTCTCTCTCCCTCTGTGTCTACCTCCATTCACAAAGATGCAACGACAATGGCAGGAAAACAGACAGAGTCAGGGAGGACAAGAGATTGACATCCTCTTTGTTGCTATTTTGCGTCATATTCACAATCAGATCATTACATTGAACTAATCTAGGGTTTAATGAGACCTGCCACAGTCTCCCCACTCTCACACAGCAGGATGCTTTTCCTTTCCCCTGCCAGCAATATGCATTTTCTCAAACACATCATGTTAACAGAGGCTCACTTTGATGTTCTGTTTGGTGAAATCATCTCTATAAAAAAAAATATAAAAATATGACTGGAAAACATGAAAAGTGACTAAAAATGTGAGTGATATGAAAGAGCCCAGTAATTGAAAAAAAGATGTCAAAATTATACGACATCTAGAACAAACTTGACTGATGCTTTATACACGGAAAATATCCAGATTAAATTAGTACATAGAAAATCCTGATAACAGCTAAATAGCTTATAGATCATACTTCTATGTTTTCTCTCTGGTGGCTTCTAGATTCACAGAGCCTCATGAACATGTGACAGGGCTCTGACAGGTAAACGTCATTTACTCTTAAAGTGGAAATGGTTGGTCAACACATCTCCCTGTTCTTGACATCACGGACACAATCTAAGCTCACAAAGTTTGAACTAAGGGAGCGAGACACAAAAAGACCTTGTGTGCTTTGTACTTCTTGTCAATAACACGATATGGAGCCAAGATGGAATATTTATTATGGTATTCTCATAAGACCTGCTAAGTTTATATGTAAATAAATATATTGTGCTAGATGGCCGTTGACTCAACATTATTTGCTCTTTCTTTGGTTTTCCTATGCAGCGGTCATCAGGTGGACTGTCAGTCCCCCTGTGCGCCTTTCAGGGCACTGTATCATTGCACGCACCCACAGGGAAGACCCTCTCCCTCTCTACCTATGAGGTCAGCAGTGACGGACTCAAAATCTCCCCCAACAATGCTAAGAAGGTAATAGTGCAGTCTCTGTCTTTAGGGTTCAAGTCCAGATAATTTTAAGCAATTCATCAAATGAATTGTGAGACATTTTTGGCAATAAACTTACTGCTTCCTTGCTGTGAGTTAGATGAAAAGATTGATATCACTTTCATGTCTGTGCATTAATGAAGCTTGAGTTAGGACACAGTTATCTTAAAAAGACTGGAAGCAGCAGGAAGCAGCCTTGCTCAAAAAATACACAAAAAAACCTACAGGAGGTGGTTTTACACTGAGGTATACGTGCTGTAACTTTTTTGTTGGCCAGTGGTGCCTGTAAAACCACAACTTGTTTTATATATATCAGTTTGCACATGAATTAAAGAAACAACATATAACATGTTAACTGTGCTGTTAAGATGCTGGTAGATGGACGTTTTAGCACTGGACACAGCCAGACTAGCCGTTTCCCCTAGCCTCCAGTCTTTATGCTAAAATAAGCTAATCTCATCCTGGCTCTAGCTTTATCTCATCTCATCAACTCTGCAAAAAAAGCAAATAATTATAATACCCAAATGGTTCAGTTTGTAATATTTAGGAGGATCAATTGACAGAAATGCATTATAATATACATAACTATGTTGCATAAAGTGATGCATAAAGACCCTACATAATAGAACCATTATGTTTTTATTGCCTTAGAATGAGTCATTTCTATCTAAATAGACCATTGGTCCCCTTTACATGGAAGTCATCATGTTGTGCTGCCATGTTTCTACAGTACCCCAAACGGACAACCTGCTCTAGAGAGCGCATTTTGTCACTATGTTGAATACATATGAAAAGAGTAAGAAGAAGTAACAGTAGAAGTAATGGTTGTCTGGTTTATTAGAAGTAAGAAGAGACGTGAAATTTTGACAAATGGAGGACCATACGTATTATTCACTAACAAAGACCACACCTACGAACGTAGAAGGTTAACAATGGTTTATTGCTTGTAATGGAGCCGAGATAGATTGTATGAAAAGAACGGATCGAGTGCCCGAAGGGTGGGCTGAGGGATGTAGGGATGGGGGAGAGGGTTGAGGAATGAGTGGTAGGGGTCGAGGTGTGATGGATGAAGGGTTGATGGGAAGACAGGTGGGGGATGAAGGGGAGGAGTCGGATCCGCGCCAATTAATGCATGAGTGAAGAGCAGACCGGTGTCTACTGGCGAGAAGGTGTGCGGGAACTGGTGGAGTCGAGACTCGGGGTGGGGGAGCTGTCTCTTAGTCCGTCGACGTGCGGAAACCCCCAAAAGAACTTCAGATGAAAGGTGTGCGTGAGCGTTTCTGATATCGTTCGGTCATAACGGATGTAAGTGAGGTATGCTGGTGAGGACCAACGGCCGAGGATTTGGTTATGTTGGCTGGGATTCCCTGCCTGGAGATGGGGGAGGCGGCTCTGATGCGGAATGGATGCCCAAGTAGAGTTTGGGGGTAATGCTGGATTTGGATAGAATTTGGCGGAGGAGTTGGTGACACCAGAAGAGTGGCTACTTCCCTGTCTCTGTGACGAACAGAGGATCTTGGGGGGACTACGTAGAGTTGTATGGTTCGTATGGACTGAGGTAAGAAATCGAGTCGGAAGAGGTAGATGGGTTGCGGCAGACCGGATTGGTTAGTTTCGCTGCGTTTGGTGTGATGACGGAGTGTGTCTGCGGATGGTATGGAGACGCGGGCCATGTGGCGTATAGACTCGGATGGTAGTTGAGGCTGGAGGTGGTGGACTCCGGGCAGCGTGAGAAGCCAAAAATGTCAGTAGGAATGTGGATTCTAGGACTCTGCCCGCGTATGGAGTAAGGTGGCCTGATCTGAGCGAGAAAAAGAGTGTTGGCGATAGTGTTTTCGTGGCCTGGGATATGAGAGGCTTGGATGACGAATGGCACTATGCTGAACCAAGGTGCATGGATTGCATTATGTCTGGACAATGGGATCATCCTCTGTTAATTGTGTCTACCACTGCACTAAGTCTGAGTATATTGTGATAGTTTTCTTAGACAGTTTAGACCCCCAAAGAATGGCTGTGATAAACTGGGTAGGTGTCGTCGATGGTAGGGGAAGGAGGGAGGGCTAGAAATTCAGGTGGCCAGTCCGCTGCGAACCGACTACCGCCGTAGTAGCCGAAGACGACAGGAGGGGCAGCGTCTGTGGAGGGCTCGATGACTTCTTGCTTGGTGAAGTGGAGAGGGAGATGCCGTTCCAGAATGAAAGAAAACGTAACTGTGTGGAGGCTTCATGTATGCGGCGTCTGGTTTGATGTGGTGATGGAGAGATGGGACGGAAGCGGCTATGGAAAGGAGATGTGACGGGAAGGACAGACCTTGTGGGATGGTCCTGGTGGTGTAGGTAAGTGGCCCAGTAATGAGAGAAGACGGCGTTTGGTGCAACGGTGGCCAGAAGGAAATTTGAAATTAGCAAGGAAATGCGATGGGTTTTCTCGGGGGTGAGGATGCCTGAGTGACCCTGGGACTCCGGGTTGGAGGTGTGCGGAAGTCGAGATGTTGAGGCCATAAGATGGTGGCGTAGAGGGTGGCAAAAAGGTGAGGAAGTCATCTGTGACGTTAATATATGTTAAATATATATTATTCAATATATTTATTAATTAATTTAAGCAATCTAGTTACAAGAGAAGGCGTACGTGTCGACTTAAGTACTGTATTGACTGGAGACGTTATGATTATGTATGATGCCGGGCTCCGCCCTCTACTGGACTCTATGGGTACTACCTCTCCTCCTATCACACGCACGTACTCACCCACTGAAATTTTGAATACTGTAAGTAGCCGACCAATTGGACGTCGCTACTGTACGTGCGTACCGTATAAATGCCCTCACTGCTCAGCATCCTTTTTCTTCAGACAGACAGCGAACCGCCCACTGACTTTCACCTCCACGGATGGAGTCGCCGCTCCTTGAAGCTCGCCTTTGCCTGTCGTGCCCCGGTCTGATCGCCGGGGTAGACACTCATCGCTTCTGCTTTGAATGCCTCGGCAGGGACCACGCCAGAGATGGCATCCGCCAACCGCCAGCAGCGCTGGGAGCATTTCTGGCAGTGTGAGCTCTCCCTCATCTGCGAGGAGAGTGAGGAAGACGCCGGCCCGGATCCCCTCCCTGCCGAGGAGGATGCTCCGGCCCCCGATCTACCGCTTCAGTCGGCTTCACGCTCCCTGCCGTCCCTGCCGCCGCCGCTGATCGACGATGATGCTGACAGCCTGTCATTTGCATCAGCCACCTCTACTGCGGCCATATCGGCCGTGTCTAAAGTGCAAATTAATTCCTCTTCAGTCCATTACGACTTCCCCGCGGTTATGGCTATAGCGGCGGGGCGCGTCGGGCTAGCACTGCCCCCCCCCCCATCCTGCCTAAGCTGGTAAGTCGGCTCCGGGAAGGGTTCTACGGGCTGCGACACACTCCGCTTCCGCGCCATGACGGCCGAGAAACGAGCCGCTCTTGCCGTAGAAGCGGCACAATGCAGCTATCTGATCCTAGCTTGCATTCCTAGCGCGCCTACGTGAACCCGCTCGGGCGCACTGCTAGCTCGGCAGTGTTTTCGTGCCACACAGACATACACGCTAAGCTGCCGAAAACTGCTCCAACGAGAGGTCGCAGCGCATCACGGAGTATCCGTGGTAGTAGCAGCCTAGCCCGCTATTGCCGGAGAGATGCTGTCACTAACCACGTCTCTCCCGTCATAGCAAAGCAGGGAAGATTGCTCGTTGCCTCTGCGAGCGGCTCGCTGCGCCGTTTGGCCGCAGAGGGAGAAGAGAGCTCCCCGGCCCGTCACTGCTCCTCTCGACAGTTCTGCTGATAATGAACGCATCACCGTAGACGCTACGACAACACTGTCGCAGGCAATGACGTCAACGGAGCGACCGGCCGTGGTGCGTTCAGGACACCACAATCCACTCGGGTTTTTCGAGACTTTGGCCGTGGTGCGTTCATGGTCACCACGGCCGGTTTGGCCCTTTCGATTGCGGCCCCCTTTGGGCCAAACTCCCATTTATGGAGGGTTTGGCGGCGGTGAGGGCCGAGGAAGCTTTCCAGCATTTCATCCACAACGCTCCTCAGCTAACAGCACGTCCCCTGACTCATTTCCACACGGAATGGAGACGCTGCTGCAAGCCAACAGACTGGATGGACGGCACATTGAGGCGGGGTTACTCCCTACAATTTTGCCGTATCCCACCGTCTTTCCAGGGCATCAAGGAAGCCAACCTGTCCTCTCAGGAGGAGGTGGACTTCCTGGCCACAGAGATTCAACAGCTCCTGCAGAAACAGGCTATCTCTGTCGTTCCAACCCATGACACGTACAAGGGTCTTTACTCCACGTACTTCCTGGTCCCCAAGAAGACTGGAGACTTCAGACCCATCCTGGATCTTCGCTACCTGAACCAGCATATTGCACGGAAACCGTTCCGCATGCTGACACTCAGGAAACTGCTAGAGCTAGTGCATGTCGAGACTGCACCCCGATATAATACAGCAGATCTGGTCTCGCTTCGGGACGGCGCAGGTGGACCTGTTTGCCAGACGGCACAACACCCACTGCCCGCTGTGGTTCGCGATCCTACCACAGGACAGCCCGCCCTTGGACGTGGACGCGTTTGCACACGTGCCATGGCCAAAAGGGCTGCTGTATGCTCCCCCCCCACTCCATCTCATCCCCCCCCTGCTGGAGAGGGTGAGACAGGAAGGGTTGTCAGTCATCCTGGTAGCCCCCAGCCGCAGATCGGCGGGGTGGTACGCAGAGGTGACGCAGCTGGCAGTGACGGAGCCCTGGCCTGTGCCTCAGGTCTGGGGGGCTCTGTCACAGGAGTCAGGCACCATAGGCACACTGCCGGTGCTCGGCCAACCTCTCCAGGTTTGGCTCCTGAAAGGGAGAGGTTGAGACAGGCTGGGCTGTCCGCAGAGGTGGTACATACCATCCAGGCGGTGAGGGCAGGCTCCACCACTTCCTGCTACAAAGCTAAGTGGCTGGGCTTTTGTATCTCACAGGTCTACGTGCAGGTGGGGAAAGACCCACCCTCGGTGGTCTGGGCTCACTCCACACGAGGTGTGGCTGTGTCAACGGCCCTCATCAACAGGGTGAGCGTCGAGGTGATTTGCACAACGGCATCGTGGTCTTCACCATGTCCATTTGTGCGTTTTTACCTCTTGTATGTGTCGGGCTCCTTCTCAGGATCTGTGCTCGCAGGTGCGACTCAGGATCTCTGAGGAAGGAGACTGGTGTCTTCCATAGACTACCATTTTTACACTGACTGTGATGTCCCCTGTAAGGGGTCAGGACAGTTCAGGTGTTGGATCTGACTGGATCAGATCCATCTGGTCATGCCAAACCCCTAGCGGTCTAGTGACCTTTCTGAGGGGTGGCCCACTGCCCCATCACTTAGGATGGAGGCAGCTTAGGGCCTGTGGCTGGTGACCTGTGGCCGATCGTGTCAGTGAGGTGAGCTGTGGCTTGTCGCGGCTGGGCGGACAGTCATCGGGCTCCACCCACTGTACCCATAGAGTCCAGTAGAGGGCCGAGCCTGTGTGAGATAGAACGAAGGTTACGATATGGTAACCCTAGTTCTATTAGCACAGGCGGAGCCCTCTACGATGGAGCCCTGCCGCTCCACCGCCGTCTGCTGAAGGGTTGGTTGTATGCTGAGCAGTGAGGACACCACTATTTATACTGTACGCACGTACAGTAGCAACGTCCAATTGGTCGGCTACTTACAGTATTCAAAATTTCAGTGGGTGAGTACGTGCGTGTGATAGGAGGAGAGATAGTACCCATAGAGTCCAGTAGACGGCTCCGCCTGTGCTAATAGAACTAGGGTTACCATATCGTAACCTTCGTTTCTGCTGTACGTGACCAGCGGCTTGAGACGAAAAGAGGACGTGGTAGATGTGCCGGCAAACCGCGAGGCCAGGTCTAAGATTGGGGACAGGTAATCGCCCAGCTCTGACCTGCGGTCGGGGAAGATTGAACTTGTATTGTCGAGGTACAAAGAAAAAGGGGAGCGAAATCCTGCTGGTGTAAGTACTTTGGATCGGGTAGAAGGTGGTTGCTTGAGTTTGGTAGGGCTGAGAACAGTTGCGTTTCCCTTCTCTGTGGAGAAAAGGGATTGCGTTAGAAGAGAGAAAAGTCACATTTGATTTATTTGGAAATGGGGAGGGGGTAGGGGGATGGAGGGATGCATGTGTTGATAGTGATGCTTGAGAAGTAGAAAATGGATGAAAAAAGAGGTTGGGGTGTGTTAGAAGAGAGAAAAATTGCATTTGATGCGTTTGGGATATGGGGAGAGGGAGGAGGGGAGGGGAGGGGAGAAGGGAGGAGGGGAGGGGGAAGGGAGGAGGGGAGGGGGAAGGGAGGGGGAAAAATATAGACAGGAGGAATAGTCTGGTCGATGGCGTTTTCGTATATCTCGCTGTGGTTGCCGCTGGTATCAGGGTAGGAAGGACCGATGGTGCCAGAGGAGATGGGATAGGGAAAGGGAAGAAGAAAGGATGCGGGGATGGAGAGATGCATGTGCTCTGGTTGATAGTGACATTTGAGAAATAGAAAACGAATGAGAAAGAGATTGGGGTGTATCTGAATTTGATACGACCTGGCTCTGTGTGGGGGCTGATGTGGGGTTGTCTTGCTTCAGCAAACGGCGGCTAGTCGAGGCTGGTTGCTCGGAGTGCCGAAGCCGGGATCTTCCCCCTGGAGCTGCTGGCGGGCGAAGGCCCGACAATATTCGAATTGTCGGGGATCGTAGGCTGAGATCGCCGGGGAATATAGTATGTTGCAAAGGGAGGTGTGAGCTGTGAGTGAGTAGTTGGTTGCAATTTGCAACCCTCACCACTAGATTCCACTAAAACTTACACACTGAACCTTGTCTTCAGTTATAACATTTACTGTAAAAAAAACAACAACTATTGACTCACAGCAACTGTATATGTTTTATATGTCTTTTAGTTTCAGAAACATATGTAATGTGGAATTACATTTGACCCTGTATTATTTATTACATTCACATTTACTTATTTAGCTGATCTTCCCACACAAAAGGCACATGTCTTATTCACTGCAACATTACCACACCACAGGTACTAATAACTTTAATGATAAATCTCCCTCTGCTTCAAAGGTGGAAGTGTACCGCTCCAAATCAGTTGGCCACGAGCCCAGTGCAGATGACAAAGCATCAGGAGGTCAGGCTGGAGACGTGAATGTCAGCAGCATAGAGATGGGCATGGAGATCGGGATGGAAATGGGCATACGAGCTGGTGTGGGTGACACCAATGTCAAGATCCACCTTGAGGTTCTGGAGATCTGTGACAACGAGGAGGCCATGGACAGTGTCTCCATCATCTCCAATATCAGCCAGTCCTCCACCCACGCCCGCTCGCCGTCGCTGCGTTACTCACGTAGGGAGAACCGCTTTGTCTCCTGTGACCTGGGCGAGACAGCCTCCTACTCTCTGCTCATCCCCAGCGGTGGCAACCCAGAGGCAGAGACCATCAACATCACTATACCTGACACTGTGGAGGCTCACCGGCAGAACAGCCGAAGGCAGACGCAGGAGAGCTCAGGATATCGTGAGGAGATACAGTTGCTCAATGAGGCCTACAGAAAGCAAGCTGGGGAGAGGGAAGAGTGACATACATTAATGCGAAAGTGTCTTCGAGGAGGAGGTTGAAAGAGTGACAGCAAAGGATGAAAGACAAATTTCCTAATCATTCCATATTTACTTCTTTCTGATCACCACTCTAATAGAACTGACAGGTGACCCAAATAGAGACTTAGCTCAAGACTGTTATAACAATATGTTTGCCTACTCTTGTACTTAGATAGCATCATGAGAGCACACGCATCACCTGTCTGTAGAGTACACAGAGATAGATTCATCTGTAAAGGAAGAGGGATAGCAGTACATTGTGGTAAACAAGCGCGAGAGAGAGACAGAGACAAAGAAAGGGGAGGGTAGGAGAGCGAAAGAGTATTCTAGCAGAGCATCTGTATTCCTTGCAAGACTTTCACCATATGGCAGCCTGTCATCATAAAATAGATACAGCCAGAGAGAAATTCACTTAGACGTGGAAAGGAGGGGCCACAGTCTGGTCACATGTCTGATAAGAAGCTGATCCTGTAGAGTACGTCAGCGGTGACTCAGCTGTGAGGGGAGGGGTCACCTGGCCTATGTGTCTGACTCATCCCAGTGTGTTGTTGTGCATTTTTGTGTGTGAGAAGTAGCCTTGCCCTACAAGGATGGAGCTCTATGTATGAGAGTAATGCTTTGTGATGTTAGCTGCCAAAAGTATTTAGATGTTTCCCCTATATGAATGTGTCTGTTCTGCATACATTTCTTTAAATTAAGGAGTGTTTTCCTTTGCTTCCAGCTGCCAGGTCCGCCATGTATTACACAATTAATGCTGCTCCTGTCAAATGAGAGAGGGAATACTATCCATGCTAAAAATCTGAAACAGGTGGAGAGAAAAAGGAAAGGAGAGGCTAGCATCTGAGGGAGCGTGCAAGTGATTATTGGAGAAGGGGTCAATAGAATACTTATGCCAAGCAGTTTCCTGCCTAGTGCAGATTCAGTACAATCTAATATTTGTGCATATTTGACTCCAGTATAGGCAGCATATGAATGTACATTCCAGAGCCACTTTGGGGGAACATCTCTCTGCCTGCTTCGTTCACTACCCATCCAATCAGTGAGCCACCGGGCCTCTCACTTTCTCTTGAATACATGCATAAATTCAGGACTGGAATAACATTTACATGGATAGTATTGTGTATTTCAGTGCAGTTTTTGAATAGTTACATGGGATATGGACATAGATCAGAAGCATATAAATCTTTATTCTCTTTCACAAATAATATGAGTATATCCTTTCCTATATGCACATTTACATATACATGTGTGTGTATACAATTGCAGTAACATAGTAAAATAGGTATTTTAGAGTGACTTTAGAATATTTATTATTTTTAATATTTATTTAGGTTTGTTTTATGATGGTGTCCTTTATGTGCTTGGTTGCTTGATCTGCAGAACAACATTGGCACTTTGTAGACTTCATTTGCAGCTTTTTGAATTGTCCTTTGGCAAGCCCACTTCATCAGCTGTGACACGTTCCATCCCCCTGAAGAATGTTGTCATTAAAGATTCATACCAGAAAATTGCCTCCAACAGGATTGCTATGCATTTCGATTTTCAATGCTCCTGGGCAAAATGTAAAAGGAAATAATGGACAGGCGTATGAATCATAATGAATGTAAAGTTGTATTCAGTGTCAACCATTTCAGCTGTTAATGGTGCCTGAGCTTCCACTCTGCAGACTAATAGAGTGTGAGAAATTCGCTCAACTGCTTATTCTCTCTTTTAAATTTGACAACCGTTCAGCTTCTGGTCAAGCGTTCTCTTTAAAATAGTGATCAATAAATTGTGATTTGCCTTGTTTGTGAGAAATTGGGAATTGCACGTCAGCTTCACAAGTGTTTGCATATTACTTATTCATGTCAACAATCTGGACCGATTCGTAACACAAAAATTACTCAAATGGAATTCTCTATTACAGAAGAAAAGCAAAGAAAGCACAATAATTAACTACTTAAGGGACTGACCTAGATAGTAGTCCTCATTGGTTGTTTTACCCCTAGGATGACAGTAATGTGACTAATCCACAATAGCTGTATGGTATTTTTCATGTGATCTTATCAGTGCTTGAGCTGACATGAAATCATGTTATTGTGTTTTAGGACGTTTTCTCAAATTATTCATTATATTTTATCTGCATATACATGCAGATATTTAGAGGTGTAGTCTTTGAGGGAGAAAGACCAAAAGAAGAAGAAAAGTAGAAAAAATGTAGCATCACTGCCACTGCTTGAGATCTCTTGTTCAACACATGCACCATCAATGAGTACAGCATGCATTACTGAAAATGTAATCAGAAAAAAACATATGTTAAAATGTTGAACTAAAACAGCAGATTTTCATCTTGGTTAAATTATTTAATGATGTAGCCCTGGGGGTATAAAAACAAGGTGTACAGAAGAATCATTTTCACAACCCCTTCACTACTCAGGGTTATCTCATATTTCTCCTCTTTCTCACACATCTCAGCTTCCTTCTCAGCATTTTTTTTATACTTTCCTTCCCTAGATTCTTGCTATTTTCCTGCATTGCTTACTCTCTGATTCCAGCTCATTTCCAATCATTCACCTGTTTCCTTCAGAGCTGCCTGCTGAGATATTGATAGTGCTCAGATATTTCAAACTAATGACAGAGATAAATGTATTGGCAGTTCAGGCGAAATCCTTTGAGGCCCTCCTAATTCACAGTTGAGCCCTACTTAAAGACGAGACTAAATACATTTCTGTCATTAAAACATTAAAAAAAACAACAGCGCCAGAAATTGATTTGATAGGAGAAAGCTGATGAAAACAAACTCCTCAACATACAGACTGAAAAAAATCAATAATTAATTTCATTCATATGAATGAATTTCTGGAGCTCTTCTTCTGTTTTGTCTGTTTGGTTGTCTGTGTGGAGAGCTGGATTTCCTTCGTTACAAAATGGTTGATGATGAACAATGAATGTTGACATGCGGCACACATTTCAATTTCACATTTTATAAAATGAGACATATCACATCCTCGAATATATCACTGCTATGATGACGTCAGCACAGGGGATGCATGATATTGCATGGCAGCCAAACCGAGCTGAGGGTAGGATCTACTCTGCAACCTCTCATCATCCACAAACGCCATGAATGACTCCCTCACATCTCTTGTCTCTGCAAATTAATTCATGGTACTAATTGGGTGAATATTCCTTTTATTTTGTAAGACAAAGGCAGAAGGGTGTGCGGGTAGAGAGGGAGAGTATTAACATTGCAAAACACAGAATCAGTGAAGGGTGAAGTACTGAAATGAGAAAACAGCGTGATTGCAAACCGCCACATAATTCAGAAATAAGAACAAAGCAGGACCAATTATTGATTGAAAGGAGTCTGTTACCTGCTAATTGTGTCTCGCTGACTTTAAGATTGCCATGTTGTTTTCAGACTAAATATTAAAATATATTCAGCCCTACGTGAAGCAAATCATGGCATGTCAAGGTTATAATAAAATGCAAGAGAAAGGCTGTGCTTTAATGTTATTAATCCAGTGAATTTTCAGTTAGAGGGTGACAGATTGCCATTATTTATTAAACTTAATTGGAGTAGATACATCACCATCATATATTAGAATGGAATAGATAAAAGTGTTAAAAGAATAAATGTAAATGTTAAATGCTTTGATTCTGCTGATAGATGATGTTCACCACAATACCCAGAGTACAGCAGAGCCAGAACTGTTAAGGTGATGCGGTCTATAGTAGTCATGGTAGATCTTTTTCATTTGGCTGTAACCTTTAAGGCCCAGACAACAGGTAATTCCCTGAGGTTCCTTTGAGCTGGGAGCAGGATGAGCCAGTTACAGCAGTTACAATGACAGCAAAGACAGTCTCTGCATATATTAGAGCTTTAGGATGCTCCCCTCCAATCCTTGCTTCTTCAGGGACACAAAATGGACTTGCTCCTAACTGCTGACTAGGTCCCAAGGGTAAACTGAAATGTCAGGGGTTAGGGAATAAATAGCCAGAGGTTCCTCACATTTTGCTTTTCTTTTTTGCCTGAACTATTTACAGAAATCAAACAGTCACCACAATACAGTCGCATAATAAAATAAACCAGAGCAACATGACTCATAGAAAATTCATGTTAAATGAGGAGAACATAAAATATGAAAATAATACAAAATGAATTGGGTACACCTAATTAAACTAATTAAAATACCTTTATAAGGAAGTTCATTTTCAATCATTTCAAATGCAGGTGACTTAGTAAAGTGATATTTAAGTAAAAAAAAGGTATTGTTACATTTATTGTCACTTATCGTTTACAAGACATTTTATGAGCCATATTTAAAGGAATTGTAAGCAACGTTCACAGCCACTTAATTACTATTAATTACTATTAAATTACTCTACTATCTTTAGTGGTTTGCTGCTATAGCCTATTAATATTCAGAATATCATATAAAGAACCTTTAAGGTGTCGACATAACATCAGACTAGAGTTAATCCTTTTTTTCTAATGGAGATCCTTTCCTTTTGAAGTAAAAGGAAATAGTAAACATTTGGCCACAATTTTGATAATGTCACAGCAGCTCTAATTACCATCTTAGCTACATTGTTTGTCAGCAATGCTGACAAACAATGTAGCTAGTAATATAGTATAGTATAGTATACAGTATATACTATATAGTATAGTAGGTTGTCGTTACTATACTTTACGTTTTATTTGCACACAAAACAAGAACCTAACCTACAACAACTCCAAAGCAAATGAGTTGGGGCTGTCCTATGAATACGAATATGCTATTACACAATGCTGAAAGATTAACTTTTCAGCAGAATGTTTCCATTGTTCATAATAGCTTCTACCACGGACTGTAAAACGTCTCTGTGTATAAAAAGGATAAAGGTTTTTATGTAGCCTTCTGATAACTGCACAGAGGATTTGAGATGGGCGAACAACCAATCACAGAGCACGACGACAAAATCAGGCGACTGAAAAACTCTGACGTCGTTACTGTGCGACTTTCCGGATGGAAATGAGAAAGCTACAGCAGCACCACCTGAATGTATCTGTTTTATGAGTTAATTACTTAGTGGGCCACGATTTAAGTATCACATGCAGCTATCCAGAAACCAGCTGTCACGAGCTACGGGAGTGTAACCTAATCTAGTATCTTTAACTTAAGCCTCTGGTCCACGAATCCGTCCAGCACGTCTAGTGTAACGTTACCGGTTGACGGATATTCTGACAGAGTTTGGTGTCACCACCACCGCTTGTTTCTGACGGGGAGATGAGTTATGGATATGGCGGTGGGGGTGGGAGAGGCAGGAGAGGAGGTCGAGGGTACAGGGATGGAAGCAAAGAAAGATGGGACAGGGGAGGTGGAGGAGGCTCGAGAGGACAGAGTTCCGACTTTGACCAGGACCGAGGAGGAGGTGGACAGCGGGACCGTCCTCCTCCACACCTAAAGGGCCGTGAGATAGGTCTGTGGTACGCAAGATACGGAGCCGTGAGGAGGAAACAGGCTGACCGGAGATCGGTAGGGTTCTGTTTGGTTGCATGCTCTTGCACACTGTGTTGAGCAGGGTAGTTTGTCTGCAGCGTGCCAGTCTATTAACGTTAGAAACTTAAATCAGGACATTCAGTACGTATATGAGAGATGGCTAGGTGAGAATTCCTTCCTCACTGAGATATTCTGCTAGAAAATACGTCTGCCCTCTGAACTTAACTGCAAAGTTAGCTGCTGATCTGTGGGCACAATCTTGCACATAGGTGGTAAGGCACCAATTTCCTGACACATCTCATAGCCTCATAAATTTAGTGGGTAGGTAGACATTGGTCTAAAAACAATAGATACAATGTCCCTGATCCCTCAGCTGTCACTAAAATGCAACAACGACCAAACTTGAAATTACATGACAGAAGCAATGTGTATCTCTGGTACATGGATTTCACTGTTTCAGTGAGATTTTTATAGTTGGACAAAAATAAAATAATAAAAACATTTGGTACAACACCAGGAAAAATTGCTTCAAGTCAAACTCCAGTGTCACAATTGGTTAGGTTAACTGCCAGGTTATGACTGAACTTTCCCCTTTCCATGTGCGCAGCGGGCAGTGGTCCAGATGGATGAAGCCAGAGAGCAGCACATTACCAAGCTGCTTAACTCGGTCCAAAATGATCAGCCAGATCCATGGAGAGACGGCAGGGATGCAAGAGCTTCTACATCTGGAAACTGGTCGACATCTGCCAATAGAGGCGGTCATTGGTAAGAACAACTAGCATAGCCTTTCCGTTTGAGTAGAAAACTACAAGAAAGTGGCAAAAGCGTGATAGGATCAAAGTTCCTGAAGTGTAAGTAATTTTTCCAGCTGTGACTACTGAAACAACCAAGTCCAGTTGCCCTTGATTTTAACTTTCGTTGGACTGCTGAAACAAGTGTGACTCTAATTAACGTATTTTTGATCCGTTTATGCAGTTACTTTGATGGGGATGAACCTGAAGAGGATAAACAGAAGATCGAGGTCAAATCTGTGGAAGAGGAGGAAA